TTACTTACTGAGTTATCTCATAGTTTTCCTTGTCCACCATTTCAGGAAACGAAACTGAGGACGGGGAAATCGAGGGGAGTGACGAGTTAGAAGGCTAACCATTCAATTGGGGTATAAGTTTTAGATTCTATCATCCTTTTGTAAGGTTGATTTTATTCATGAGATTTTGTGATTTGGATAAGTTCCGAGCCTTGTGCATTCGTGGGACCCATCTCACGAGTGTACGGCGTCTATCGCGCCTCGGATTTGGGTTCTGTGGCGTGACAGATTTAGTGGTATCAGAGCTTAGGTTTGATTTAAGATTTTGTGATATCAGAGCCTAGGTTTAATTAAATACCTAGGATATGTTTTAAACTTGGCTAGTTAAGAGATTTAGAACCGTGGTGAGAGGAGTGATGGGGTTATGCAAGGGACGATTCTGATTTGTGTTGCTTGAATTTTTGATCCGCTTTGATGAGATAGTAATTCAGTTAGCTCCTGTTATCTGCCGTTGGTGAGCATTTTTGGAATTAATCTTGCTCACTATGCTCTTAGGACCTTGTTTGGAGCTTGGTCCCTTGTGATAATGTGCTTGTTTTGGTTGTGGCAGGATGTATAAGGCCTTCCACATTAGGTCTGTTTGTTTGAGTATTCATCTGGGCATTCATACATGAATGCAACAAACATACATGAGCATATACATGGGCATTCATGCATGCACATTTGGGCATTCATACATGCATGCATAAAGGCATTCATTCATACATGCATATGCATGCATTCATCCGTTCATGATTCTGAGTATCCGAGTGATGTTTATCCGTCTCGGATGGAGTTCCATCTTTTAGTTGGACTCATCATTAGATTCCTTGTTATGTGGTTGTGTTTGATGAGTGCCGGGTCTTGATTTGAGTCAAAGGTACCACATAATCACGCCAATAACTCGTTTAATTACTTGTGTTGAGGCGTGAAGTTATCTCTCGCTTCCCAAATGGCTATTGGGGAGGGTGGAGATTGAGATTATTGTTGGCTTGTTAGAGCAGTGATGAGTACCCAGCCCCAGTAAAGTGAGTCTGACTATTGTACCCTTGTACTTGTTAGTCGTGTATTGTAAGATTGATTTCCTTGTTATTGTTGTGGTTTGATATCAGAGTGGTGCAGCGGAAGCGTAATAGGTCATGTTTTGACCATAGAAAGTCGATGGGGCAATGTTTTGTCTTAGATTGTGTGAAGCCATTCACCAGTCTAGACAATCTTAGATTTGAGTTTTGGGGACAAAACTCCTTTTTAGGAGGGGTGGATGTAATATCCCAAAATTTTGGGGTATTTTAGCATTAAGTTAAGGACCTTTGTGTGAGAAAATAGTGTTTTGAGGCTTAATGATCAAAATGTCCAA